CATAAGCGCATTTCTCCAGATTTCAAAAAAAGAAAGCTGCACCTTACAGCCATGCCTCCGGGCCAACAGTGTGAACGCTCCCTTGCGCCTCCTCCCGGTATGCTCCCGCACAGGGGTCATTTCGTAGAAAAAGAGCTAGGGGAACTCATTAGCATACCTCATTAGCATATGCCACACCCCCTGCCATCCCCAGAAGTGAGTCATAAGACCACACCCACCACTCAGTTAGTCTTAGTCTTAAAGGTTAGACTTATTTGAACGCTTGGACTATTTTGCAGCAACAGACTAACACAGCTACCTCGGGGAAGCTCCTGGATGGGGCTGGGAGTCCTTGCGGAGGCCACGTGGAGTGGCCTCGGCCAGGCAGAGGGGGAGGACGCCAACTTACCCTCCTGCTTCTTCCTCCTTCTGCAACAGAATGAGGCTGGAAGCAGGGGGCTGCCGGAAGAAGGGGGTGGGGCTTTGTTGTGTGCCCCGCCCCCCTGCACCTCACCCGGGGAACTGCATTCCCCCGCATTCCCCCCCGAAATGACCTCTGCTCCCGCATCAGTCACTGCAGTGTGAACGGGAAAACCCAGAACAGTTTGTTCCGGCTCTTTTTTGCCACGACTCCCTCCTGCTTCAAACTGCCAGTCTGAACTCAGCCATTGTGTCTGATGTTGTACGCTGCAGGTTCTTCACGCTGAGTGGAAGTGATTGCTCCATCACACAAATGAATCCCTTTTTCGAAATGAAGTGCCTCAGGCCTTGTATAAGAATGTTCCTGAGCTTAAACACTGCGGAGCTCCGCAGCCATGGGGCTTTTAATATTTTTTTACTGACTCATGTCCAGCTTTTTCCTCTGGCTCTGATCCTCACAAAGTAATTGTGCTTCCAAATGGAACAACAATGAGAAAAGAATTACGGTGTCTTTCATGCTATGCAGGAGTTCACAGAGCAGTTTATGAAGGGTCATGAGAGAGTGGTTAACCTATGCATGCCCTCTGCTTGTGAATTCCTCAGGACTGTATGCAATGACATTACACTTGAGCAGCGTGTTTAAAGGCTTTGCTATTAGCAATGTGGAAGTGTTTGTCCAGTTCAAGTGAGCAAAGAATGACGTATTCTGCCAATTTTTAGTCAAGCATTACCCTGAAAAGACCTGCTAATCGCAGCTTTGATACCAAGCAGGGCTAATGGAGTGGTGGAGGAGAGCTGTTTGGCCTAGGTCTCGAGTTCAGAGGGGACCTTGTACTTGGACATGTCAGTTTTTTGGCATTTCATC